GCGCTGTCAGGGCGCGGGCGGCGGGAGCGGAGTGGGGCACGATCCGGCTCGGGGCGGCGATGGCTGAGCTCAACGGCGCCGTGGAGAACGGGCAGCCTGACAGGAGGGCGCCGCTGCCGCTGCCGCGGCCCGCCCGGAGCCTGGAGGTGAAGCACTGCCAGGTGAGCGGGGCACGCGTGTGTGACACGCGCACGCGGGGGTGCTGCGATGCGCCCATTGCACAGCTCGCACCCGCGTTCCCCTGCGCGCGCGCGCCCGGGGGCTGCACGACGTGTGGGTGTGTGCTGGGGTGCACATGCGTGCGCCGCACGGCCCATGTCTGTGCTGCAGGGTGTGCATGTGTGTGCATGCACTGATGTAGCGCAACCCGATATAAGTGCGCGCACGCACGGGCGCTGCACGGGGTGCGTCTGTGCTCTGGCACGCGGGCGCTGCATTGTCTGTTTTTAATGCACGCGTACTCAGGGGCTGCACAATCAGTGTGTTGTAATGCGCATGCCTGCGTGCACACGCACACTCAGTGTAGAGTCTGTGTCTGCTTGGACGCACGCGTTGTGCAAGCTGTGTTTGTGTTCTGATATTCACATGCACAGGCTTTACGCATACACACGCTTACACAGATGCTGCACAATTGGTGTGTTCCAATACACACACGTTGTACAGTCTCTGCCTATGTACTAATACATGTGTGCGCGCGCACAACGGGTGCTACACAAGTGATGCCTGTGTTCTAATATTTTCACACACACACACGTGTGCTGCACATTCTGTATGTGTAAGAGGTTGTGCGACATCTTTGTGCTCTTGTATTCGCACAGACGTGGTACGCAAGCGATGCCTGTGTTCTAATATTCTTTGTCTCGCACACGCCCTTACACATGCAGAAATTCAGTGTGGGATGTAAAATACGTAGCAGAAAGTGTCGGTGCTAGGGATGCCCGAGCCTGCACGGAGCAGCCCCAGCACGTGCCTGGGCTTCAGGGAACAGAGTGAAATTGGTTGCTAAAATGACACTTTCGGAAACTTAAAATAACTGCAAATCCTGCTGCCAACTGGAGTCAAAACTCTCCCTTTGATGCACCAGGTCAGTTCAGCACCAGCCGGACCGGTACGCCATCCCAGGGCTGTTGAATTGCAGTGCTGACGCGGTTTCTTTGTTAGGCATCCATTTTCTTCCCGGACAATATTTTGCGTTGGCGACCATTGTGCATCATCTGCGCTGACTGGCAGGGTGATGCTGGGTTTCCGAATCGTATCGGGTAGGCGGGAGCCAGTCCCATGAGCTGCTGAGCACCTCTCAGTGCTTTGCGCTCACGAACATCAGATTTGGATGGAGCGAAGCTGCGAAGGTGGCTGAATTTGGGTGGTGGGGGGGAGGAATCTAAACCAAGTTCTTTCCGTAGTTTAATCCTGCTCCCACTGAAGTTCCTGAGTGCGTTTGCATTGGTTTTGCTGATGCCAAAATCAGGCCCTCTGGTTGTAGCATAGGAAGGTGAGTCAGGGTTTGGTGCTGTGAAGTGCTTTCAGCGCCTTTGAGTTTCTGCCAGATACGACAGAAAATGCAGGCACGCTGCAGCTCGCAGGATGGGATCTTGCAATGCCACCAGGGATTCTGGCAGCATCGATTCTCACCCCCCTCAAAGCATCTGATCTCCAACCTCCCCCCGCTCCCCCGCCACCCAACAAACCCTAAATAAAACAAAACCGCCTCCTTCTAGCTTTGCTAAACCTTGGGCTGCAGAGATGCCAGACCAAAAATCTCATTCTTAGGCTAATGGGTAGTGTTTTCTCTTTTAAAATGCCCACTTGCCCGAGCCCTCAAAATCCTGCTCTTGATACCCTGCATGGGAGGTTCCTCCTGGTTTTGTTACTTGGAGGCCCACGGGGTCTGCTCCTCTGCGCTCTTGACGGCAGAGAATTGAGAGCCGGTGCAGAAACGGGCATTGCAGCACTGTAGTATAGTGAACCCCCTGGTTTTTTGATTGTTAAATAGACTAATTTTTTTGCAGTGGGGAGACTCCTCCAGGTATAACCTGGATCTGCTCATTTCCAGTGGTCCGTCGGGCTGAACGAGACGAAGGCTTTAGCACATTTAACATGCAGCAGTTCATATTTTCAGCATTGTATGGCATCTGAATCCATTAGTAAATAAAAGATATATAATTTTAAATGTGTTCCCCCAGCTGCAGGAGAATGAATAGAGATAAGTGGCGCCAGTTTGTCCAGTTTAATATTGTTTCAAGTCCTCGCCAAAGGAATTGAGAGCGATTGGCCATTTATTAATTTGTCGCCGAAGACAAATCCTTCCTAAATCCACGAGCTTCCTTACATACCTTTTTTTTTTTTTTTAAAGCTGGGGCTTTGTGCTTATCTGCAACTTGCATCTTCTGCTCTTGGGTTCGGGATGGCGCAACATTTTAGAAATGGCACTTCCCCACTTACGAGTAGCTCTCTAGGATTCATTTCCACTTCATCCACACAGCAGAGGAATTTTCTCCTTGAGTGCTCAAGAGTGTCCTGCTTTTTATTTTGTTCGGGGTTTTTTTTTTTTTTTAAAAGTCCAGAACCATTAATCCTCCCTCTTTTAGGGATCATCCTGCTGCAGTCTTTTTTCCAAAGTGGGGGGGGGGAAAAATTGCTGACTTCACTGGTAGGTTTTCCTGAGATTTTGTACAGATTTAGGATCCTCTGAAGATATCTAGACCTTCACAAAGACTGCCTCTCAGATGTGGTACATATAATTTAATTATGAATGCAAGTTCTACCTCTGCTGTATGTTTTGAGTGCTAAAATCTGATGAGGGAAGTTGGAACTGATGTTCAGTTTATTCTAGGAAGTAGAAATTTGACAGGAGAGGTATTTTTGCAAACTCTGTCAACTCATCCCAGATGTTTACAGCTGTTTTGCAACCGCTTCCATCCATTTGTAGAGCCAGAATCTTGTCTTTATTTCTGCAAGTTATTGAATTGAAGTGTTGATCGGTCTCGTGATTTTTGGAGCCAGTGATGGTTGGCCACATATGATCTTCCCAAAGTTTTAATATCCTAAAGAACAACAGGAGACCACAGCAACTCCCCACGCTGCGTGCCGGCCCGAGGAGTGGCTTCTTATCAGAAACCCAAACATTGCTGCAAATCTCGGGCCAATGCCAGCATAGCCTGTATAATGAAATCTGTGAATCCATCATTCAGGCTGAGTCCCTTCATTCGCTGTAGTGACTGCGTCCTTTTTCCAATTCCCTGCTCCAGAATGAACACTCAAACTGTTGCAATAAAATGCAACTCCCAGTTCTTAGCTGTAGTATATATCCCATTATAACTTCATGGACCTTCCTGTATCCCTCCAGTTTGCAGTGCACTCTCTGGCTCATGAAGCCCCAATTTTTTCTTTACTTTCCACGAGCCTGCTTTTACTTTTCATATTTGATAAGTAAATAGCATCCCGAATGCTAGCCCCCTAAAACCGGGTAGTTCCATGGTGGTGTTTGTGAGCACCAAGGTATTTCAAACTTTCTGCCCCGTGAGGTCTCTTGCAAACTTTACTGTGGCATCTTGTTACACTGAGCCTTGCAGTCGCACCTCTCTCTGAAAATGAGAATGATTAAGAACAGGTGGGTCTAAATCGCTCCCCCCCCCTAAATGCAGTCCCAGCTAGGGTCCGATATCTACAGAAATACCCAGAGAAATATTTTTTACGGTCTTGTTAAAAAAAATAATCATTTTGGGTTCAAACTGGGCAAAGAAACGAAACGACGTGTGATCCGCTCTAGCTGAGTTTTGAATGCATGAGGATGCAGGATTCATCTTATGAGGAGATCTCTGGTGCAAGCTTAGCTGTTGACTTGTAGAGTACTTTAGCAAGGTAGAACCTTTTTGTTCAACTAAGCTAAATTGCCCGCTTGCACTTCTTAACCGGGGGTGAGCTATACCAATTTATGTGGGGTTTAGCTTCCTTTTTGCTTCAAAAGAATGGGCAATATGCTATTTCGTCTGTGTTGACAAGATGAAAGCGTACATAAAAGATGTGTGGGAAACTGGGGAATTGCATATACATATCTGTGCATTAAATCACAAAACTTTTCCTGCTTTTAAAATGTTAAAAGTACTTCAGTGGATTTTTAGTTGTGCAAAGTTGGGATTGTTTGTCCGGGGTTTAGACATACAGCATTTTAAGCATTTATGATTTTTTTTAATTTGCATATACGAACATATTTTAGATGTCCTGCTTTCAAAACCTGAGTGCCCTTGTGGAGGGAAGGGCCTTCGGGTGAGGCAGGGTTACACGGCTGGGGCCCTATTTCACGTTCTCCAGTGGCAAATACTAATGGTAGGACTCCCTGGGGAGGAACCCCAGCAGGGATAGGAGGGAGTAAAATACAAGCCATTAGCAGCTCACTTGCAGCATGGAGAACGTGCATGCTCTGCACTATTACAAAGAATTTGGGTTTTTTGTTCGTTTTTTGCTCAGAACATATAGGTTCCTCTTGGAGCCTTCTCTGAAAAGATGCATTTGAAATAAACTTGCTGTCACACACCCAACCGTGTGAATTTTATTGTGTGAGCCTAATCCTGCCTCCCCACCTTCCTTGTTCCCCCCGCTACCCCGCACCCTTCACTGGGCCTTGCACGCATCCCTTGGTTTGGCTTGGCCTGCTGGCTAAATGTGGCACCAGCAGCATAATTGCGTAAGGCCAAATCATGCAAAGGTGCTCAGTGCTCTTAACTTCCATGGATTTCTACAGCTCCTGCAGAGACAGACTTGAGCATTGAAAGACTGTGTATAATGCATGGATGTGTGGTTTTGTTTTCTGTTTTATTTTTTCCCCCCTTTCCCTCCCATTAGATATTTATTAACAACGAATGGCATGAATCCATAAGTGGAAAGACGTTCCCCACGTATAACCCCTCGACCCTGGAGAAAATCTGTGATGTACAGGAGGGAGACAAGGTAAGATTTGCTGGGTAACTCGTGCAGAGATTGGGAAAGTGTACTAGATTCCTTTGTTTTTCTTTTTCTTTACAAAATAAGCTTGGCATTAGGCCTGCGATAACTAAACATCTTGGCCTGCCTCCTCAAAGGGATTACAGAGAATGGGATCAATTATGTCCAACTCCACTAGAAGCCTAAGAGTCTCTCATCTCCGATAGGAATGATGATTGCTGTAACAGTCTGAGTCAAAGGAGAGATACAGAACGTGGCTTGCAAGGCTTTAAAATTGGCAGTGATTAAGCCGCCTTCCCCACCCCTCCCGAAGCAGCCCTCTTTCATTATAATTCTGACATAATTCAGGTCCCAATATTGCACATGTTTATGTGCCTGCTTAATTTTGCACACATGAGTAAGCTCAGGGGCTTTGGTGGAAATACTTGCATTTGCCTGGTGGGGGCCAGAGCTTGTGCTCGAAGGAGCAACGCCCGTTTTATTTTTGGAGATGGTCTAAAAAACACTTTTTCTGTTGGATTCTGGGCTCCCCTCTTGGGACGTGCGTCATTACTATGGAGAAGCAGTTGTTCAGATGACCAAAAGATGAGTAGGAGAAGTTGGTATTTTCTCAATGCGTGGAGGATAGATTCGAGAGTGGGGCAAAGAGGCTCTTATGGGAATGGGGAGGGGAGAAATAGTAACAGGACCAGGACTGGGTCTTTAGTATCTGAAAAAGTAACCGTCCATATTCATCTAAAAAAAAAGAAAACCTTCTCTAATAAGTGCTAGCGTCTTCTGCGTTCTGACCTGTCGGAGGCTATGCTGTCTTGTGGGGTCTACTACCTGTTTTGGGTCAAGAACAGCCTGATGTAGTAGGAAGGATAGATTCAGAGGCATGCTTCACCCACCAGGTGACTGAAAGGCTGGTTTCTTGGTAAGGATGTGGCATCACAATTGGGTTGCTGAAGTCCTCCATAGCAGGAGGGTGGCGAGGGACATTTTGAAGAGCAAAGGGTATTGTCCAGTATCCCTGTGACCGAGCCATACTTCACGGCTCCTGGGCAGGCAGATTGGCTGCCCAGATGTGGCCCCTTCAGTGGTTCTCAGCTCAGAGAGCGCCCTCCTCATCTGCAATGCATGAGGGCGCTGGGGATGTTTTCCTGGGGAGCAGCGGATTGTTGTACAAGCTCAAAACTTGCCTCCGTGCTGGGAGAAGTACCCTTGCTCCTGATGTAACCCATGCCTTGGTGGCTGCAGCATCCAGGAGGCTGAAAACCTCTGTGGGCAATGCAGCTATGGTTGCAAGCTTCGAGCAAGGGGCCCCGCGGCAGACTCTCCCGTTCTTCCACCCATTCACATGGACAGGGAGAGAGAAGTTGGGTGCACGCTGGAGGCAGTGGAGGAAGATAACCTACAATTCCCTTGCATTCACTGTATGTAACACATAATTGCAGCTCATTAGAAAGGCTGTCTAAACCCAGGGGTGATGCTAACCCTGCTGGAACTTTGCTTTCCTCGGCAGAAGCCATGGCTCCTCTATTATTATGTGAGCTAAATGCCTCCTTGAGCAGTCACCCAGCCATTGCTGGGGTACTCCAGCTTGCTTGGAGAGCCACTGTTTAAAGAAAACTGTTGAGCAAAGCAAAACAGGCTACCTCCTGGCCCATCTACAGAGCCCGCCTTACTTGGATCTCTCCTGAGCACAAGGATGATTTTTTTTTTTTTCTTCACCTTCTACCTTATGAGACTGTCAGTGGAAAACTTATTCTCTGGGCCTTGCTGAGAGAAACTCTAGCCCATGGCTCCCAACTGCAGAAGCCCTCTAGATTTCCACGGGGACTGAGATAGACCGATCTCCTTACAGGGCATGAACAAGCTAGTTCTGGCTGCTTTTTGCCTCTTCCTCCACTGCGTACATTATACACCCCACTTCCCTGCCCACATCACTGGGTATGGTTGGAGGAGCGGGAGAGCCTGTGCCTAGGCCTGTTGTTGGGAGCTCACAGCTGTACCATTCTGGGTGGATCTGCTGAATTCTGCTTTGCAGCTCTGGATCCCTTAGTCTGTGAAACTCAAAATCACGGGACATCCCCGTGGCTGGAACCAAAGATTCTTGTGCAAACTGAAACCGCTGGGATAAGCCCAGCCCTATTTCAGTCCTGCCCATCTGATGTTTCAGGCTGACCTGGTTCATAACCTGAGACATGCCGTGGAGGAGGGCTGCGCAAAGCTTCGCCGGCTGTTCCGTTTTAAGCTCAGAGCAGTGACATCGAAGTGAAACAAAGGGCTTCGAAACAGCCTCGAAGCGAAACGAGGCCAGTCGAAATGTTTCGCTCTGCCTCCCTCCACCGGGCTGCGAGGCACTGGGAGCTGAGCCCGGTGGCGGGAGGTGGCACGCGGCCCCGCAGGGCACTGAGCACCCAGAGGCGTGCAGCCCGGTGGAGGGAGGCAGTGCGTAGTGCCGGGGTTGTGCTCTGCATCCCTCCACCAGGCTCAGCGCCCAGTGCTGGTCCCAGGCAGCTGCAGCAGCCTCCTGCCCACACCCCCAGGAGGGCTGTGGGGCTCTGCCAGAGTCCCCCGGGGGTGCGGGCCCCCGATCTGGCTGCGATCACAGGAGGCGGCTGCTCCTCCAGTTTCGTGCTTCCCCATTATACCCTATGGGCGAAACCTTGAAACAGCGAAACTGATTTGACAAAACGAAACGAAGCGGTGCTGTCGAAACGAAACTCGAAACAAAACACTGTTCCCTCGAAACAGAAGTCGAAGCAGAACGCTGCTGTTTTGGGCAGCCCTACTGTGAGCTCTCTTCTGCGGTGGTCCTTAGTGGGGTCTCTGAAAGAGGCAGAAGTTTGGGCTAAGACCCTCAGGGCGGTGGCTTTAGCGGTTGGTACTGAAGTTGTGGGTCAGGATCAGCTGTGTGGCTGCCTCTTGCCCTGGTTCTGGGTTGCTGGGGTGGGATGCCACCTGCCTAACCTTGGTATCGGTCCCCCATGTAAAGTCTTATTTCCTTTAGCTTCAGGCAAGGGTGGGAATTTGGTGACTAATAACATGGTGATGACAACTTGCTTTAGGGCTGAAATGCATCCAGCTTTTTATTAAGCCGGGAGCAAAGGTTGCGTCGGCTGTTTTTCTTTAGTTGGGAAATTAAAACAGAGTTGTTCTCAGTGATATTCTGCTGGAGGGAAGAGAATAAGGGAAATCTCAGGTGGGAAGGAGACGGGACACACAACTCTCTACTGACCTTTTCATTACTGGATGCGGGGGAGGTTTGTTGTCTACCAGATAATAAGAGCTGGGCACTCGCATTTGCCAGGCTGATGCTTGGCATGGGAATAACTTTATCCTCTGTGGCATTCTGCTTCTTAACAGGCAGTCGCCAGCCTGCTTCCAGCTCTCAATCATTGCACGCCAGCCTGGCAGATATGTCCATGCAAAATACTCAGCCCATTGCCATATGTTTGTGATAATGCAGAAAACTGAAACCCATGCATGAGCAGCAGAAGCTGGTTAAAAGCATAAATGGGGCCTAGGCTGCATGCTGGTTTTCTGCACAGGTGGGAGTCCCACCCGTCAGTGGCAAATCTGCAATATTACATGCTATTAAAGTCAGGTTCTTAAAATGGGAAATGTCTGGCAGCCTTAGCTAAAGCTGTGCTGCTCGGAGGATGTAATACTCCTGATAACATCTCTTGCAAACCTTAACCCAGGCGTACCATCAGCGTGGGGCACATGGATGTCATTTTAAGGCTTTGTGTTGCAAAATAAGAACATGCATGGGAGGCTGACTGCCATGAGCTGCTGGGGGAGGCAAAATAGCTTGTGATACTGTAGATTTTCCACTGCTGGGTGGAACTTGCGCCTTTTCACTGGTTGGACTGAAATTTTCCATGCCAGATGTCTGCCTTGTCTGCTGTTATTTTTAAAAGTTTTAGCAAAAATGACTCTGCCATTACCAGAAAGAGACTAGGGAAGCCTACACAGCCTTTTGTCTTCATTGAACAAAATTTGTTGAACTGTTTCATTAAGAAGCACCAAGACCCCAATTTTGGGGG